ACACACACACACACACACACACACACACACACAGAGACATACACACACGTCGGGGCGTGGCCCCTCCCCCTATCCCCAACGTGTCCACTGTGAAAAAGTGTTCCATGGTGATCATGGAATCCAGTTGAATCTCACAAATGCGATGGCAAGCTGTGGATAGCCACACACACAATGGGACAGCGAGGAGCCCATTTCGGCTATTCTTTCTTTTCCCACAGGTAAAAGCTCTCTGGATGTAAGTAGTAACTGAGAGATTATATGTGTGTGAAAATATCTGACTCCAAGAAAACACGGTGAAAAGCCATTTCATGCTAGGTAATGGCATGCAAAAACACACAGCCAACGTTATTTTCTATGCAGTCAGCAAAGTAGTGCTAAACACTGGGAGGTAAACCGTTGTAAGATGTAGGACATTCTGGGCAGTGGTGACACTCGCCTTTCCCAACACTCAGGAGGTAGAGGCAGGTGGATCACTGTGAGTTCGAGGCCAGCCTATTCTAAGAATGAGTTCCAGGACAGCTACATAGAGAAACCCAATTTCAAAAAAACAAAAAACAAACAAAAGACAACAACAAAAAATGTAGGACAAAGGACACTAATCAGTGTCAAAGACAAAAAAGGAATGTTTGTATATGATGTCACACATTTTGTGCCTTCTTTGCTTCGGGCACTGAGAAGCCCCCAGACTAGAAGAAGCAGTTGTTTCCGCATAAATACAAAGGATCTTACAGCCTGTCTAGACAGAGCACAAGCAGATCATTTGATTCCTAGCTTTAACTTTAAACTTCAGTTCATCCCAACACCCAGACTCTCCCTGAGTTAACTTTAAACTTCAGTTCATCCCAACACCCAGACTCTCCCTGAGTTAACTTTAAACTTCAGTTCATCCCAACACCCAGACTCTCCCTGAGTTAACTTTAAACTTCAGTTCATCCCAACACCCAGACTCTCCCTGTTCACTCACACAAATGTTTATAAGAAATGATCATTAAGGACAGTCAGTTTCATAAGAGTTGGCTTAATCCTGAAGTCTGCACTTCAAATAGCCATTGGTGGTAACTTATGACTTGTGTGCAAACAAGCATTTGTCCAGGCTGTGTTATCCAAATTGGTTTGTCAAAAATTCCAGGTCACATTCTCACACTAAGAAAGAACATTCTATGAACATGAGGCAAGTTTAGGAAAAACTAATAGACCTGTCTACACTAAAAAGAAGAGGAGGTTATTTTTATTAATTTCCAGTGTCCATTCCATTACTTTCTGATGCCCACCCCTACGCACATTATCTGATATGTCAGGATCCAAAACAGCCCCACAACTACTTTGGGCTTTGTCAGAGGCTGGAGTACAGAGTGGCTCAGAGTGTAGATTTGGGAGCTCAACAGACCTCTGAATTCCTGACACTGTCCTTGTTACATCTTTAAGCTTTAGTTCCCTAATCTATATACAATGATGACTTAAAATAAGTAGCACTTATTACTGCATGGTTCTTGGAACCATTGAGTTCCAGGTAAATTTACTTATCTCTGTGCTTAGCATATAGTAAATTACTGGGCAAATGTTAGCTTTTTATAGCTATTTAAGACTGGCTGATCAGTAGGCAATGGTGGCACACGCTTTTAATCCCAGCACTCGAGAGTCAGAGGCAGGAGAATCTCTGTGAGTTCGAGGCCAGCCTGGTCTACTGAGTGAGTTCCAGGACAGCTAGGGCTACACAGAGAAACCCTGTCTCAAAAAACAAACAAACAACCAAAAACCAAGATAAGTATAATCTCAGCACCAGGTGGCTAAAGCGGGAAGAATGCTGTGACTTTGAGGACAGCCCCAGCCACAGTGAGACCCTGTTTCAAATAAAGCTTTTGAAACTACTACCCTGTCAGCTGTACCCCCTAACTGGGATTCTAAAAGGTTAAAGGGAATTTTTTAAAGATTTTATTTATTTATTATGTATACAACATTCTGCTTCCATGTATATCTGCACACCAGAAGAGGGCACCAGATCTCATAATGGATGGTTGTGAGCCACCATGTGGTTGCTGGGAATTGAACTCAGGACCTCTGGAAGAGCAGTCAGTGCTCTTAACCTCTGAGCCATCTCTCCAGCCCTAAAGGGAATTTTTTAAAAGCCTAGATTCTTTTCTCTGATAACTATGAACATTTAATTTCATCCAGCTCAATTTGATGTATTAGAGGCTGCAATTCTGTCCTAGTCTTGCTTGAAAGCCCAGCAAAATGTTTGCTTTTAAAAACAAGAATTTGAGCAGTTTCAGCTCATTTTTCTATAGTCTCAAACTGCTGATTTTATATATAAGTTGAAATGTTACTTCTAAGGCCTGAGGCTTATATTCTTGAATTTCCAAGTCAGGAAATGAAGTGGCTTTGGCTGCTGATGCTCCCCCTCCCCGCTAATGCATAGAAAATGTGCTAGTTAGGGTCCGCATCAATGTACTAGCAGGGAGCACAGTCGCCATGCGTGTCAAGCCCATCCCTAGCATATTTGTATTGCTACCATTTAAAAACTACAAAGAGTGAAAGAGTGGAATTATTTCTGGGCTCAGAATGAAGCATTCAGAGTGTCCCAGAAGCATGATGACAAAGCCATTTCTCAATTTCAAAGGAGAAACACATTAAATTGGCATAGCCCATGTATTGCGGTTGAATAACCTACCCAGGATGCTTATTGCAGGGATTGGATTGCGAATTTTATGTGCAGATTCTTGAAGGAAAGGATCTGATTTTCCACTCTCAGCAGCATTTGTTAAAGCAAAAGGCCATTTGGGAAAGCCTGAGGTTTGCCTTCAGCGTCCCGTAACTCGGTCTCTGGAAAGGAGTTGTTTGCTCAGAGGCTGGGCATACAGCCAAGTTTTGCATTCCTAGCCAGCCTCAGATATCAGTCTATAGATTTCCCCCCTTCCTTTCCTGTGTGGAAGGGAAAGAAAGTCATATGTGACCACTGCATTGCTTGATGTGCTGCAGTGAAGAGGCAAGCCCTGGTCTAAAACAAACCAGAATGTGACCCGGGATGCAAGGAAGACAAAGTGTAGGCAGTGCTTTGATACGATGATTAACTTGGGATAAAAGTCACTCCTGTGCCACACTTCCTTCCCTTTGTGCATCTGTTAGTTTGGATGCCTGCTAAACATTTGTCCTTGCACTAATAAGGGGTCTATTTATTTCATTGTGGAAAGAGTGATGGGAAGAAATAGCAGATGTAAAGAGAAAGGGCCCTAAGAGATCTGTAGAGTTGAGAAGCCTTTTCACCTTCCAGTGCAGACAGCTGGTTGGTGGCTGGGTCAGAGTTAGTCTTAGGCCTCCTCCCAGCTCCTCCCTATCCAACTGTCTTGTAAAAATCACTCTGTGCTCAGCCTCAATTGTTCCTGGACACTTTACTTTTTAGGCTGGACTTGGCTCAGGCCAGCACTTGTATTTTTTTTTTTCTTTCTGTCTAGCAGTTCACTAAATGGTTCCATATGGAGCCCAAGCAGGAAAGAATGGGCAGTAAAACAGCCTCAACATCCTGTAGGCTGGTTTGGGTTTGGAACCCCAGAGGAGCAGCTCACAAGCAGCCCCCCATCTTTGGGGTCAGAGACACCATGGGACTTGACAGGCTTCTGTGTCCTGCTTGGGTCACCCAGGCCCAGATTCTTGTTCTTTAGTTTATGAACAAGTAGTTGAACATTTGACTTCGTGGAAGCTATGGAGTGCATTGTGTCTATTTCAGGCTTCCTTCGTTTGTTGAGAGCCTCACTCTTTGGAAATCCTCAGATTACACTGCATCAAAGCAGCGGACTTCCCGTCACTTGTTCCATAATTCTTTCTCACACCATCCCATCAGCAAAGTCCCCCGCTTCCCCCCAAAGACTCAGTGTCTAGTGAGCTCTTGTGTATATTCCTACATCCTGCTTCCATTTGTTGTTGTTTATGGATTTTGAAATTAATTTTTGAGTAAGGAGAAAAAGCTCTTGGAGGATAAGAGGTACCCGTAACCACCCTATTCAACATGATCAATACATTTCAATAATATAAACCCCATCACCATGTGGTAACCACAGTATAGCAGGAGAAAGCAGCATCCTTTGCCTACATGAACACCCTTGTAGAACACCCATGAAAAATTAATTAGAAAGATGGTCCCTCCAGGCCCTACCACTTCCAGCATTTTCTGATAATGTCACCGAGTTGAAAGAACAGAACAGCCTCACTTTTTGTTCCTGCTATGATTGCCACCAGTTTCTGTCGTGATTCCTGAATTGCTCCCTTGAACCCATCCCATTCTTCCCCGATGGCCACTATGATGGTTTAAACTCTTCTTGTCTCATGCCATCCCATCCTTAGCCTTTTTGCTCAGTTGCTTCCATTTCTGAATTTTCTTCCTCACTCTCTCATAAACTCATTTATGTAAACAGGTCCTAGCAATTCCACTCTCACTTGCTTTGGCTAAATAACCCTCTTTGCTCTCTTCTGGTCTTGTTATACAGTCTAGTACTGCATCTATGACATAATTGTGTCTAGCTCATCCACTGGACTTTTGAGTCACTGGGACCAATATCACTGTCTTATTCAAGGTTTGGCTCCTGGCTTCTGGAAGAATGTATTTTATTCATTATTTCATAGACATGTGTTGAAGCTGGGTCTGGCATCACAGGCTTGTAACTTGGGAGGCTATGTTGGGAGGATAAGTTCAAGGTCTGCATGGGCTACCAAGTGAGTTCTCACCATGCCAGCCTTCTTGATGTAACAATTGTGTTTAGAGGTGAGATAATTCTTTATCATTTCTTTCAGATTTTATGACAAGGTACTTTCTTTGCATGAGGATGTGACAATCCCTGTAGTGAACCCTCTACTTGCCTTTACTCTCATCAAACGTTTGCAGTCTGACTGGAGGAATGTGGTACATAGTCTGGAGGCCACTGAGAACATCCGAGGTAATGAGGAGGGCTGTGAAGCATGGGGAAATCTTCTAGCTCCTGACTCAGTGTAAGGAGAGAGATCCTCTTGAGTTACAATGCGGAGTAACAGAGTGGACAGGAATTACTTGAGCTGTCAAGCCCTTTAAAGTCTATAGAGTTGGTCCCTTTGCTAATAGGTTATGATTTTAGATTAGAAAATGCCTTCATATCTATTACCTTGTTTGATCTCCACTACATCAAGTGAAGAAGTATGTACTACCCAGTTATGTGTGTGTGTTTATGTATTTTTATGTTTAGATAGCTGTGGCCTTCTAGTAGTTTCTTTTTGTCGTCGTTGTTGTTGTTTTGGTTTGGCTTTGGTTTTCCATACAGGGTTTCTCTGTGTAGCTTCCAAGCTGTTGTTGTTTTGGTTTGGCTTTGGTTTTCCATACAGGGTTTCTCTGTGTGGCTTCCAAGCCTATCCTGGAACTTGATTTGTAGACCAGGCTGGCCTTGAACTCACAGAAAATCACCTGCCTCTGCCTCCTTAGTGCTGGGATCAAAGGTGTGCACCACCACTGCCCTGCCTTCTAGTAGTTTCTATTTGAAGATTTTAAACTTGAAAATGAGAGTAATGCAACAAGTCATTTTCCTAATTTAGTCTACCTTGCACTGTAAGAAGTTGTTTAGTTTGGGGAGGTTAAGAAAAATTGCCTCGCCGGGCGTTGGTGGTGCACGTCTTTAATCCCAGCACTTGGGAGGCAGAGGCAGGCGGATCTCTGTGAGTTTGAGGCCAGCCTGGTTTTCAGAGCAAGTGCCAGGATAGGCTCCAAAGCTACACAGAGAAACCCTGTCTCGAAAAAAGAAAAAGAAAAATTGCCTCCCACTAAAGGGCAATATGATGAGGCTATGCACTTTATTTCATTTCAATCCCTCCATGCCATTATTCTGAATGTCCTTCTTCCAGATAGTCATGTTAAGAATCTACTCTGGAGGGCTGGAGAGATGCCTCAGTGTTTATGAGCACTTGTTGCTCTTCCAAGGGGACTCAATTCAGATGCCAGTGTCTACATCCCAATAGCTCACAACTGCCTGTAACACCAACTCCAGTGGATCTAACGTGCTCTTCTGGCCTCTGTGGTCACCTGCATGCATGCTTGAACACACACACACACACACACACACACACACGCATGCATGCACACACACAAATGCATGCTCGAGTATGCATACATGCTCACTGTCTTGTGAGCACGCACAGGCACACACACACACACACACACACACACACACACACACACACACACACAACATACACACACATGCACACAAGCACACACACACTCCTTTAATACACTTAGTGTTGGGAACTGAGCTTGCTGCTGGGGGCTCTTTGAGCAGGAGGTCAGATGGAATAAATTCTCACCACCTGTGTTTGGAGGCTGGGTGACACTCTTACTTCTTTTACAGCTCTGAAGGATGGTTATGAGAAGGTAGAGCAAGACCTTCCTGCCTTTGAGGACCTCGAGGGAGCAGCAAGGGCCCTGATGCGGCTGCAGGATGTGTACATGCTCAACGTGAAGGGCCTGGCCCAGGGTGTCTTCCAGAGGGTCACGGGCTCCTCCATCACTGACCTGTACAGTCCCAGGCAGCTCTTCTCCCTCACAGCGGATGACTGCTTCCAAGTAGGCAAGGTGACACACAAAGAGGGCCAACTGCTCAGTTCTAGTTTCTTATGGATGAACTGTGTCCCAACGGTGTTTATGTATTCCCTATGCTTGTGGTAAGCCTTGACGTTTGATATTCCTGTTTTCAGAGGAGGAAACCAAGTTTCAGACAGGGTAGATCACCGAGACTGCATAATGCAAAGTAACAGAACCAAATGTGAGCATTGTCCTTCAGCGCTAAACCCCATGCTCTTGCCATGGGAAAGCGAAGTCATCAGATATTAGAAAGTTCTTGAGTGTGAATAGCTTTTCTTTATTTCCAACAGGGTGTTGTGTATCCTGGGTTGGTGTTAAGCTTGCCAGGGTCTTCCCACCTCTACCTCTCCAGTGCTGGGGTCATACCATACCCAGTTTCTGCAATGCTGGGAATGAAACCCAGGGTCTCATTCATGCTAGCCAAGCACTCTACTAACTGAGCTACATCCTTCACATATAAAATGGTTTAATTAAACATACCAGGATGAAAGACATAAACTAGACAAAAAGCATCTTTCTCTTTTTTTCCACACTAACTATACACCCTACAGGTGTATGAATCAGTGGGTGGTAAGCAGAAGCAAGGGTGAAGAGGGGTTTCTTGATGGTGACATGAAAGGTAAGGTCTCCCAGGATGCTCTGGAATCCTTTTCAATGTTCCTCAGGTATTTATAAATACTGAGTTAAGTTACTGTAAAATAACAACCAAGGCTGTGCACCTTGATGTGCAACTTGAGGAGGTAGACCTCAGGAAACTCCCATAGGTGTATTTAGCTGATTTTTGGTCATACTGGGTTGTTTTATAATATACTTTTTGCCAGACTTTGCCTTAAAAAGGCATGGGGTAAGTTATTATTATTTTTCATTTTGAAGATGCTTATTGCAGAAAAGTGTTATTGTTTTGTCCTCTCCACCCCCATCCAAGTTCATTAGCGGACCTAACAGTGGGCTTCACGGGTCCTAGTTCCAAGCTTGGGGAATCAGTCTCTCAGATCTATGAACAGTGAGCCTCTCTGCTTCCTGTTTCTCTGTGGTCCTGAGTAGAACCAGGCTCCAGTCGTGCACGTGGCTAGTTCAAGCAACTGGGTGCACCACACCAGTTAATGCTCGCTAGTAGAGCCTCTTGGCCATATTTTGAAAACCATAAGCCATATACTGAAATTTAGTAAGCCAACTTCCTGAAAGTCTTGCTGAAAATCTCTATTTCTGCATTTATTTGAAAGACAATGCATTTCAAATTTCAAATAGGGCAATGCATAGAAAAATATCAAAAGCAGTTACAGGTATAAATGAGGTGAAAGACATTTTCAAATTTGGCTATATTTATTTACAGGTTTTTCCCTCTCACTCCTACCACCTTACCGCTATCTAGGTCACTGGTGTGCTCTACCAAACAGGCCATTATCTTCAGAGTTGGCTTCTTCTCTCTGCAGCTTTTGCTATAGAATGCATTTATGTTGTTGTATGTGTTAGTAATTCATTTAAAAGATTTATTCATTTTGTTTTATGTGTGAGTATCTTGCTCACACATGTGTCTGTGTACCACATGTATGCCTGGTGCTTTCAGAGGTCAGAAAAGGGCATCAGATCCCCTGTGGAGTTGTGGGTGCTTATGTGCCTCCATATGAGTAATGGGAATTCAACCCAGATCCTCAGCAAGAGAAGCCTGTGTTGTGTGTGGTAAATGTGTGTATGTATGTCTGTGTGTGAGCTGAACCATCTCTCCAGTCAGTAGTTCATTGTATTCACCTATTTTGTGGATATATCACAAACTATTTATTTCGTCTCCTGTTGCTATGTGCTCACACTACTTCCTGTTTGAACTACTGTGAGGAAGGCTGCTATTAGCATTCTTACTGTGTCCTGTGACTGCTCGTCTTTATCTCTCATTTTCCTTTTTGTCTCACTCTGTAGCCCAGGCTAGCCTCAGCCTCCCACATCCTACACAGCATAAGCTAATGTGCTAACTACTTAAGTTTTCAGCTATATTTTTGTTTCTACCACCTGGCATTTAAATTTTTTCTTTGAAAACATGTAACCTTATGTTTTTTCTTGTATTTTATTTAAAATGTCTAAATATTTATGTGTGAAAGAATTCCAGTTATGTCAGTCTACCATATTGCTAGAACTTGAAATTCCCCATGAAAATATCAGCTAAATGCTTAGGACTAGGATGTAGCTCGCTAGCATGCATGAAACTCTGTGTTCAATCTCCTGCATCACATACATACACATACAACATATACATACATGCACACCACACACATAGCACACACATACCACACACAACCTGCATACACGTAAACATATATACACACATCACACATATACATACTAATACACATACCACACATACACTGCCCCCACATACATACACACCACACACCACACAGACATTTCATACACACACACCACATACACACATACCACATATACACCCCATATATATATGTAATATATATATACATATATATGTAATATATATATACATCATACACACACACCACATACACACATACCACATATACACCCCATATATATGTAATATATATATACATATATATGTAATATATATATATTACACATACACACGTATATACCACACATATCATATATACATATACATAACACACATATAGGAATACCTATACTACAATACACATGCTTACATACATCACACAGAGATATAAATACACACACCATACATAACACACATGTACATATACACACAACACACACAGTTAATTTGACAGAGAAAAGGTTAAGTTATTATTATTATTATTAAATTCAACCTTTTTTACAAATAAGAAATGTGTGAAGGGCCAGCAAGACAACACCACAGGCTAAAGGCAGCCCTGAGATGGGAACTGCTCTATTATTTTGCCTGCAGACTGGCAGCATCTCTAGGTCCTGCCCTGACTGGCACTTACACCTCAGTGAGATCATTTTGTGAGAGTTGTTCCAACTCAGTGACTTTATAATTCCATGTTGCTTCAGTATTGACTTCCAGGAAATTCTCCCCAAAGGTCTGGTGTTCCACTTAACTGTAAGCTGGCAGGAGACAGGAACCATGTCTGGTACAGGCTGCCATGTTGCCCCGCATTCCGACGTTTATCAGAACTGACCTGCTCAGCTACCACCACATTCCTCGTGTCTGTCCTCATTACAGTGGAGGATGGGCTGTGCTGTAGTGACTGGTTTGTTCACAAGCCCTCACTGATTCAGGGCTTTAAGGATGCATAGTGACCAGAAAGTATTGAATGGATTAAGTGCATTTGATTCCTCACAAAGCTCCCAGCAATCTCCTTCTAAGAGCACATTCCAGGCTGCAGAGGGCTGGGTGCCTGCTCTTCATGCTCTCTTTTGTTTTCTTCATGCTAGGCCCCAGGGAATTATGGGAAACAGGACATTGATGTTTGCCACTCACTCATCTTAAAAGGCACTTCCTCACAACCTCTGCTCATTGAACTCCTTTTCCTTCTTGGAGAAAGGTCTGTCAGGAATGCCACTCTGTAAACCTGTTGAGGCCCCAAGTCTCTTCCTTCTCTAAACCTCCACAGTGCATTAGGCATTGTCCTTAGAGCCCTGGTACCATTTTGCCCTATGATGTACACACTTGAGTTCATCTCTCTGTCTCCTAGATCATAAATTCCTTAAATGCAAGAACCCTGTCTTCTTTCCGTAAGTACAATGCCATATACTGTTATTAGATGATAGATATTAAAAAGAATCAAAATAAATTTGAAAGTAAACTAGCCTTCTGGGGCCCAGAGGCTTCCTACTCTGAATAGCCAGATGATTTCTTTTTTCTGTCTGTGGACTGAAGCTGCAGTGGCTTGTGTTCCCTGCAGGTGGCCTATGACATGGGGGATTATTACCATGCCATCCCATGGTTGGAGGAAGCTGTCAGTCTTTTCCGAAGATCTTACGGGGAGTGGAAGACGGAGGATGAGGCCAGTCTGGACGATGCCCTCGATTACCTGGCTTTTGCCTGTTTCCAGGTGGGGGGATGATAAAGCTCAATTTTATTACCATCAGTACAATGTTCTACATCACTTTCTGATTTGCTTCATCTTCCCAGGGGACCAAATGTAAGGGTATTAGTTTGTTATCAACATAGATTTATGTAAGTAAATCAAACTCCTAAAACATTCTTAAAGTGCCAGGAAGCTTACAGAGATATGCTTAGAATCCACATCTGAATCTAAGTCTAGAGTGCTAACCAATGCATGGACCACTTTGCAATCGTCACCTCTCTCTTACTTGCTATGACAGCAGCATATAGGTGTTTGATGGGGTCACAGTCAATGGAGGGTGCTCTTTGTGCTCTCGCTAACCCATGCTTCATCACTGATACTATATCATAATGCTGCTATGAAGGGAGAAGTTTGATTATCCTCTCCCACCTGCAATAAATCCAGCTGTAACATGACCGTTTTTAGCTGCAGAATTGACATCTCCATTCCATTGTACCAGCCTAAGGACTTCCTACAACTCCCATCTTTCCTAGGTACTGTTTATATGCTGCCTGCTGCATCACGCATGGACATCGCTTGCCCTAAATACAACGTCTTCCATCTTTCTGTATGACTAACCTCATTTCTCACCAGTTGTACAGTCTTCAAGAACAGGCTGGGGAAAAAAAAAAAACCCACGTCATCTAGAAGGTTCCCTGGAGGTTCTCTAAAGTGAATAATCCAGGATGTTCCCTGTTGTTATTTGGGGAGCAGAAAATTGAACCTAAGATGAGGTAGACAAGTGCTCTGCCCTGGAGCTACACCCCAGTCCCATGTATACACTTTCTCTCTGTTTTCCTGAGAAAAAAAGAAGGAGCATGTGGGTGATCAAAACCCACAAGTTTCTGAGAAACCAGATTTATCCTCCTCAGAGCAGCTGTCAGTCTCCTCCCTCCATGGTCATCATAGTCTTAGCTGCACATCTGTGTGCTCCTCCTACCTCTCCTGGGTTGTTGCTATGAAAAAGGGCACGAAGTGGTTGAGTTTTAGTAGAGCAAGAAGACAGAGCCAACAGAGAGACTCAGAGAGAGTAGGCTAAAGAGTTTGCCCCCCAAAGAACGTCTTACAAATACAGTCCCCAGTGATGAGCTTTGTTTTATTTCCCTGTAAATCTGGTGACAGGCTCCTCTTCCTTTCTCCTTTCCTCTCCATGTCACATCCAATTTGTCTGGCAGGCTCAGCTCAAGTATCACCTACTTGATGAAGCCTTTCTTACCTCTTCTCACCCCCTAGCTTGCCCTGTAGACTCTCACAGCACATTCCACCTTACTTCAGATTTGTAAAAGCATCAAAACACAGAAGACTTCATCTTACAAATGATTTATGATCCCACTTCTCCCTGGGGAATCTGGTAGATGTCCCTCCACTCTGGACCATATAACATATGTTTTCAATTAAAAATTTTAGTAACAATTAAATCAGTGTTTAAGCCCTAGACCCTGAAGTCACACAGACAAAGTTGAATCTGTGGAAACTTGAACCACTGTCTTAGCTTCCCTGAGCCTCAGTTTCCTTACTTGTGAAGATAAGAGTAATATTGGTGCTTGTTTTAAATGCTATGATTTTAAGTTAGTATCTGGCAGTACAGGATATTCTTGGGTTACTTAAATGGTCCTCTGTTAAGTATAGAACAGAATAATTCAAGGCAATAAATAGTGAAGAACAATATGCATTTCCAACAGCAGTGGAATGTTTGTCATCTATAATGTTGTTTCTGGGTGAAATAAAATGCAGCCATTCAAACAATTTCTATGAAGAGTACCATGATAAAAAGTATTCTTGATGCAAAAATTAGAAGGCAACAATAATGATATGAAAAATATGGTTGTGGCTACATAAAAACTGCATACAGTCGAAAGTGCTTCAAGTGGCTGGGTTTCAGTTGAGTGATGTTTTAAAATCTCCCTCATATATTTTACAATGTGATTATTACTGCTTTTATCACTGGAATGGCATTGTAGCATGCTAAAAGTTCAAGGCATTCCGTGTCTGTACATTCCTGTCAGCCAGTCACCACCCTGCAGCACCCAGAGGCAGACTGCAGCCTGCCTGTGTGGGAGTCTCTTCCTGACACTTAGGTACTCTGACCATGATGAGGCCAAGGCTGAATGGCTACAGACAGCTAGTCCCTACACAGCTGGCCAAGTTCGTTTTAGTTTTTCTGTTGCTTTCTTCCCACTGTCTAGACTCTGGGAAGCACTAAGCCTGGAGAATAAGAATAAACTGTACTTTTGCTAGAATTTCTCTCCCAACCTCTCTTCCTCCTCCTCCTCCTCCTCCTCCTCCTCCTCCTCTTTTTCCTCCTCCTTTCTCTTCCTTCTCTCTCCCTCTTCCTGTTTTCTTTTGGTGGTACTGTGGGTTAAACTCAGGCACATACTAGGCAAGCAATTCACCACCAAACTATGCACCAGTCCAATTAAGCTTATCCCACAGTTTCTTTCTACCTTTGCTGGTAAAGTGGGGTTGGGAGTAGTAATGTGTTTGTTAATGAGGAGACTTGATGTGTAGCAGGGCTGCAAAAACAACATCAAAACCCCCACAATCCTCTGCATTTCCAGCCCATTGCTTTTTTCAATAAATCTTATCATCTATTGTGGTAAGAATATTTTATAGTTTTTAGACTATTCAGTAATTTGATTAGAGAAAATACCTTTATTTTGGTTGACATTTTCTTTCTTTTCTTTTTTAATAAGGCAGGAAATGTTTCATGTGCCCTCAGCCTCTCCCGAGAGTTCCTTCACTACAGTAAGTGACACTAAGGCATAAGTTACCCATCTCACTTCTGCCCCAACCTTTAATTCTTCTTGAAAGTGAAGTATAGTGTGTGTGTGTGCGTGCCTATGTTCATGCATGCAGAGACCAGAGGAGGATACTGGGTTACTGGGTATCTTCCTTTATTGATGTCTCTTTTTTAAATTCAATTTTTATTTTACTTTATGAGTATTTTTATGTGTATGAGTATTTTGTCTGTCTGCATGTGCACCACTTGCATGCCAGATGCCTGGGGAAGTCAAAAGATACCAGATTCTCTGGAACTGGAGTTACAGACAGTTGTGAGCTGCTGTGTGAGTGTTGGGAATAGAACTCAGATCCTCTAGGAAAGGAGTCAGGGCTCTTAACCACTAAGCCATCTCT